AACCTTGCAGACAGCTCCATTAGCCATGACCACGTTACCACCATCTATCTGCTCGTAGGTTGTGAAGCAATCCTTGTTCGGAGACATATGGTATGAGGCTGCAGTATCCAGAAACCACACATCACCACGATGTGCCTTCTCATCTACAGCCAAGGCGAGATCGTCTTCAGAACTGTTGTCCACTTCTGCCACGGCAACTGAACCTTGTTTCTTCTGTTGCCCTCTTCTCTTGGGACAGTTGTACTTCCAATGCCCCACTTCCTTACAGTTGTGACAAGCATCACCTGGCTGTGGACCGGGACCCTTGGAATTCTTGCTCGAATTCCCTTTACCAGATTTCTTCTTTCCCTTTCCACCTGTAACAGCCAAACCCGATGCCTCACCACCTGTACCAGATCCGGATGCCTTATGTCTGATCTCTCTCGTATGAAGAGCAGACCTGACATCCTCCAATGACACGCTTTCTTTACTGACAATAAAAGAATCAACGAAATTCTCATATGAACTCGGCAAAGAAACAAGCAGGATTAGGGAAGCATCCTCGTCATCAACTTGAACATCTATATTACGCAGATCCAGCAAAATAGAGTTAAGTTGTTCGAGATGTTCCCTCAAAGGCGTACCTTCTTGCATCCTCAAGCTGAACAACCGTTGCTTGAGATGCAGCTTGTTGGTTAGAGACTTCGTCATATACAGACTCTCCAGTTTCAACCACAAGCCCGCGACAGTCTTCTCAGCAGCAACTTCAATGATGACGTCATCAGACAACGATAGCATGATGGTCGAGTGGGCCTTCTCCTCCAGGGTATTCCACTCATCGTCATCGACCGCTGCCTTCTTCTGTTTCGCAGACAGCGGCCCCCACAACCCTTGTTGTTTTAATAAAGCCTGCATCTTGATCTGCCATATAGCGAAGCTGTTCTTCCCCGTGAACTTTTCGATCTTCATGTTCACCGACGTCATTCTTCTGAATCGAAAACCCTAGCCTGATTTCCAGCCGCGGCTCTGATACCACTTGTTATAAACGCGCTGCTACGGATCGGGAAATCGCCGGAATCGACAAAGCAAGAATACGAAAGCGAGAATCGAAAAACACAGACACACGATTTACGTGGTTCACTAACACGATGTGTGTTAGCTAGTCCACGGGTGAGAGAGAGCCAGTTTCACTATATCGAGGAGATTACAGATTACAGAGGAGTATGAGAAGTATTTATAGTACTTCTCCAGCGTGACCCCCGATTACCAGTCGTAGCGGCTGATAGTTCGATTCAAGTCATATCAACAACAGATCTTGACCTTCTGCCCATACTGCACCAGCCCGGTGTATCTGACGGATCGCCTTCATCTTCTGCTCGTATTTCTTTGGTTGATGTGCAACCGCTTCAAGACCACAGAATAAATAATTAAGACATGAGAAATTTCATATGAAAAGTAAACCATGAACAAGCACAGAATTACATTAGTACATGCACTCCATAATTGATCTCTTATGTCTTTCTTCTTCCCAAACTTGTGCTGAAAATTTGCAAGTGTCGAATACACCAGCGCCATGTCCACCCCCCATTCGTCGGGAAAACCATTCACGACGTGCTTAATCTCGACATGTCGATCGGGTATAATTGTAATACCCATTCTTTGTGTGACGTGGTGGTGTAGCATGTCAAAGAACCATGCCCAACTTAAGTTGTTCTCCCCTTCAACTAATGCAAACACCAGGGGGAAAATACTTAAATTTCCATCAACGCCAGTGGCAATGAGAAGAGTTCCTTTATACTTCCCAGTAAGGAATGTTCCATCAACCTGTTAAAATTATTTATAGTTAGTATAAATATTACTTAGTGAAAAAAAAAGAAACACAACAACATTGTTTAGACCGTGATATACCTGGATAACAGGCATGCAGAAAGCAAAACCATCAATGCATGGCTTGAAGGTCCATAACAGACGATGAAACATCAACTCGTTCTGTACTCGAACTTGATCCTCAGTGTATACATTGTTGTAACAGCGCACGAAAACAGTCCCAGGGTTGGACTCCTCCATTGCGGCCATTAATCTAGGGAGTAAAGCATACGAGTCGTCCCAATCACCATATATCTCAGCCATGGCCTTCTGCTTCCCATGCCACACCTTCTTATACTTGATCGTGTCGGAGTGTCAATCCTTCACCTCGGCCATGATAGCTTTGATTTTAATATATGGTTGTGCCTCGATCAAGTGCTTAATGGTTCTTGCCACCTTCTTTGCTTTCAGTTGCTGGTGATCCTGGGACAGTATGTTTGAGGAGCAGTTGTGGTTGTTCTCTACTGTCCAAATGACCCAGACACTCTTTCTCTTCATATTTGCAGCCCACAGTTGCCACAAACAACCCTCTCCAGCATTTTTGAAAATGACATTAAGTTGTTTGGTGTCAGAATATTTTACCTTCCATTCAAAATGGCGCCGCATGGCTTCTTCGATAAAAGCATTTTGAACATCAAATTTCGAAGTGAATGCCATACCCACCTCCAAATTGGCAGTCAGAAAAAATCGTTGTGACTATATAAAAATTGAGATGGAACCTCTGTGTAGTAAGGCGTTGGTGCCTCACGGAACGCCACCTCGCTATCCTCGATATCGTGCGTATCTTCATCCTCACTGAATGATCTCAAATCTTCCTCCTTTCCTCGTCGCTGGAGGCGAATGGATAGCTCGGCTCAGGAGGATCATCGTTACCAACATAACCAACCTCATCTTCTTGGTCATGTGAAGTACACCCAGTTCGAAGGTGTTTCTCAATGTCAGCCCACTCTGGACCCCAAGCAGGCCATTGATCACCGTCGGGCTCAACGAATGGGGTAGTCTGAGCATTTTGCGGGTATTCTTCCCACCCAACACCTCCTTCATAATTACCTCCTCCGTAGTTGCTTGGACCTCCACCCCAGTCGTAGCCTCCTGCAGAACTACCTCCTCCAATGTTGCTTGAACTACCACCCCAGCCGTACCCTCCTGCAAAACCATCATCACAAGAATATTGGTGAAAATGAGTTTCACCGACCAGCTCGGTCTCGACATACACTTCTGCAAGCCGCATCCCGTTGTCAGATAGGAACTGTATCATCATGTTCACCGCGTCATCATCATTTATGACAACTTCTTCGTACATAACTGCGCCAGCACTCATGTTTGGATACTGGTAAGTAATTTGACCAACTCTCCTTTGCCCGTCCATACAAGTCCTTTCTGCACAAATGTCACGTAGTTCTTGCCATGTGAATTTCGACTCAATTTTTAGCATAGTGGATTCGCCATTTTCATAGTCGATCCCAAAGTCTGAGTTTGTCACCCGACCATTCCACCGAATAATAAGCTGAAACTTCTTAAATTTACCTATGTCTGCAAATTACAATTAGTTAACTATTAGCTTAACTCAAATAAGATTACTATAGTATAATTAGTAGATTATTTGAATAGAAGAATAAAAATCTATCAAAATCGGTGCTTGATAGACTTAATCATCGATGAAAAATATCGGCAATCCGATTTCATTTCTTATAGCCTTAAAAATCCAAAAAAAATGATATTTTAAAAAAATCTCTCAAAATTTGTGATGATATCTTTTTGGAATTTGCCAGTCTAGGTCAAAATTCTCTTCTCCTTAATAGACTTATAATTACAGGATAACGGCTAAATTACACGGTTGGTCATTTGAATTACACATATCTTTCACGTTTGCCACCCGAATTACTTTTCTTTCTTATTCGCCACTAACTTTACGAATCGTTTCACCGTTGGCACTGGCCGTCCAATTCCGTTAAAATCATCCTACGTGGCAGTCAACTTAGTTCTTTGACCGTTAGTTTGATGACGTGACAATTAAAAAATATTAAATTAAAAATTATTTTATCTTCCTTTCACTTCTTCCTCCCATCGACACTTCTCCTTGAATCCATTGAGAGGCCATTTTTATTCTAATGTGATTCAATGTCCCAGTGGCGGAATTTCGGTCAATTTCTAATTGAAGTACACTTTGTCATTAATGTTGAATGACTTGACATTTGACTCCATTGATTCCAGGCAAAGCAGAGTTGTTCGGAATCATAGAAGAAGCCAACGTCGGTGATTCCAGTCAACAGAGCGCAGGCAAGGATGTCAATGGCTTCAATCGACATTTGATTCTCTGGCCTGCTTTTCCAGAATGCCCCCTTCTTATTGGAGCGGAAATAAGAAAAACTTTAGAACCAGCTGAATACACCGCCACCGATGGCGGTGAAATCAAATGGGACACACAGACAGAGCCACAACACGCGGGGACTCTCCAGGGACCAACTTCCACTATAAGCACATCAACTGACGAGGTTGGAAGGGTCGGGTTTGATTTGAGTGAGGAGGAGAAGTTTGCAGATCTACGAGTCCTTGAGCAACGAGGCGGCGACTATGGCTTTACTTAGCCTCCACCGCGAGGTTGCTAAGAAGAAGAAGTTCCAGTGGCGAATGTCAAGGAGAGTGAGAAAGAGAAGGAGATTGTCTTGGATGCGGTTTTGGTGAGGAGGTGAAGTAGGAACTTATGGCGGTGGTATATTCGTCGGATCCGCCTCCTCCTCTGTTGTTGGTGGATCTGCCGTCTCCATCTATGCCCACTCCTTCACCTCCATCGTTGCCATCATTGTTGCCCACGAATAGATGCTCTATCAGGAGTCCGATTGGATTCGAGGAGAAGTGTTTGCTGGGAGGAAGAAGTGGAAGGAGATGAAATTTTTTTAATTTTAAAATTAATTTATTTTTAATTTTTTAATTGCCACATCATCAAACTAATAGTCAAAGGACTAAGTTGACTGCCATGTAGGATGATTTTAACGGGATTGGACGGTCGGTGCCAACAGTGAAACGATTTGTAAAGTTAATGGCAAATAAGAAAGAAAAGTAATTTGGGTGGCAAACGTGAAATATATGTGTAATTCGAGTGACCAAACATGTAATTTAACCACAGGATAACTATGTTCTTCCCCTGTCAAACGCGCTTTCGTTGAGACACACGCCACTCTAATCAATCGTCCGATTCGGAACAAAACTAGGCTGAAAATTGAACGTACTGCCCAGCAACGGCGATGGTAGGTTCCAAAGCTGCGATTGAGGTGGCGAAGACGGTCATCGAGGTGGCCGACGTGGCGTGGACGGCCATGGAGTTCAACCACCACCACCTCCACACCCACGATCAAGAAGAGACCGGTACGCAGGCCAAAGCCGCGGAATCTATGTCGGTAGATGAAGAATTGGTAGCCTTGAGATCCGAGAATCGGCGGTTGAAGAGCTTGCTCGAGCACAATCTCAAGCTCCTCCAGAATTTGTCAGAATCGACTCCTTTGATGAGTGATTGCCCTCCTGATGTGAGTACCCTTTTCTCAGCTTCTTTCTCTGATGTTCTTTACTGCTGGAGCTGGAGTTCCGTTTTGCTCGAAAATTGCAGTCTTGTGTAGTAGAATTCATTGTACTGTTAGAGAATATGGCACATCGAGGAGTTGAAAAAGCCAAACTTGTTTCGCTAATTAGGACAATTAGTGGGGGATCTTATAGCTTTCTCTGTGTTTGATCTTGTGGGTATGCGATTTGAGATTTGAAATTAATGTTCTTTGATTGCTAATTAGCAGAACTGTAATGTCATCGGGTTTTTGATTCCTCAAACTACAGCTCTATGCTCGCCTGGCTGCCACTGTGGATTCTGAAAAATTCTTGAGCCAGCTTAAATCCCTCCAAGAGGCAACCAGAAATGGAGCTACTCCTGGATTCCCATTCAAGGAGGCTACAGGTATCATTACACATGCCACTTAGGGTTTATTTCAGTTCCTTTGTGAGGATACTTTATGTCTTTTGATACTTATGGAGGTGCTCTCCTGGTTCCTTTGATCAGGTGATGACTTGCACACTGTGGAAGTTCTTATTAAGGTTGACCAAGAAGAACCGAGTAGGTGGGTATGGGTCACTGAAGAAATGATTCATGGCAATACTGAAGAACACAGTGGGATAGATAATGAGTGCTATGTGGTCATCAATGAGGATCAGGTGGTTGATGCAGTTGCTACCTTTATGGCTAAGTGCATAACTGCAAACCCAAAATCTCAGGTATCTATCAAGCTATCGAGGCATCTTGATGTTGCTTTTATAACATGCTGTATCTTACAAGGGTTTCCCTGCTTGGAAATGCAGAAATTTTCCCCTGAGGCTCTCCAGAAAGGTGAGTTATCAGACACACTTCATCATTACCTTGGAAGTATTCTCTGAAAACCTGACCAGTGTTGGATTTGTTATGACTGTAAATCTAATAGTACTCATGAGTATTGAGGATTATCTTAGAGCCCCGACTTCCCCAAATCAATTTTCTGCTGGTTTTCTATTTATGAGGAAATCATATTTGGAGACTTCCATACACAAGTACTCATATTGTGAGCTTGTGAATTTGCAGCCGTTACACAAGCTCTCGGCGGTGGCGGTGTTAGCAAATTTGAGAGAGCAATGGATATTTGGCATGCCTGGCAGCTGTTCTATGCCCTTTCGACCTGGGGAATTGCATTGGCAGGGTGAGTACTTGTGCTTATGTTCTCAGAATGACATTCTTAACTCATTAGACTTTAGTCGTCATTGCTCAAACACACACAATCACCTCTAAATGAACCTCATAAATGCAAGAACTTTCTACTTTAGATCCTTGTTTGTGATACTCTGGTGCGATCCAAGTTTTGCAATTTCCTAGCACTTAGTGCACATCTGGTTTCATGGATTAAGATTATAAGCAGGGAGCTTTGCTGAATAAAGTTTATGGCTGTGCTATATTGGATTATGCAGTTTGTACAAGACTCGGGCTGTGTGGAAATATGCTGCCGTGGGTGTCCACAAAACCAGCAAGGTTGTCCTCAGGGCTCTGTGAATCAGAGGAAAGACTTATTGTGTGATGTAAATATAACAAATTTGTGTAGGGAGGTTTATGTCTAAATGTCGAAATATCCATGTGATTGTTCAAGCTCTTCCCAATTGTAGATATGTTATCTGTAAATATTAGCGGGAGATGGCAATCACAACATTTGTGATATTCCAGTCATTGTTTGATTGGATTGGACAAGAGATCAAAGGAATATTTCCTGTTACAAACGTTACTATGACTCCCAAAATTGAGCTTCAACAATAGATCAAAAGTAGCCAGCAGAAAATGGATGAGGAATTGTGAATGTTAGTTCTTGGGGCTACTTCCACTTTGAGCATTCACATGACTGCTTCCAGCTCCAGCAATAGAGAGGAGAACTGAGTTTCGTGGAAGCTCTAACGGCGTTCTTATTTCTGCTCCAGCAAATCTGCAAGTCTTTCTGGGTGAATCAGGATGTCTACGTCTCATCTGGCTCACCAGGTGTGGTTTCAGATAGATTCACAAACTGTTAAAAAGACGTATCGAGAATTTATTTCCAAAACGTCAAATGATTGAGTTGCAAACAAAGAAAAGAATGACATGCTTACTTTGAGACTGCGCTTCTAACAAGATTTTTAAGATCTACGATTCTGGGACCTTTCTCTTGCGATCTGATGCAGCATCTGACTGAACCTTACCAAAGACTAACCTGTACCACACCAGTAGTAATGATGTTCAAGACATCTCTCAACTGCAAATAATGTCTCATATCATACATAGATGAGTAGGAGAAGACCAAGGAAAGTACTGACAAGATGTAGAGCCTATATACCAAAAGTAATGATGTTCAAGACATCTCTCAACTGCAAAGAATGTCTCATATCATACATAGATCAGTAGGAGAAGACCAAGGAAAGTACTTACCCACAAGTTGAACATTTATCATGATGCTTACAGAATATCGACAAGCAAACTGAACATACATAGCCCATATCGATTGTTTTTTTTATGGCAAAAACATCTGCAGTAACTCATAGGTTAGTTGCTGCTTCGTAATTAGAAATCAATGCAGCAAAAACTGCCATCTCTGGGGCCAGCTTGTTGCGTATGATATGCAAAACAGATAGGTCTTCAGTTTGATGGTTGGTAGGGGAAGAGAAAGGAAGAGAACAAATCAATGCGGCAAAAGAAATGTACTGAAAAGGGAAAGAACAAAATAAAACCACACTCACGAAGCACGAAAATCTACACCAGCTGGTCTAGGCAGTTGTAAGAAGCTTCTCGAGTGCAAGTCGACTGCAAACACAGTCTGCAAAGATAATGAGAATGTGATACCGAGCCAGTAGTTTCAACCAAGTCCATCTGTAATTCTGCATGGCTTGTCACTATTGCAAAGTAACACATAACCTCTATAAGAAAGGAAAAAGAGACATACCGCTAAGTATTGATACAACCCTTCCAAATGTTGGGGCTTAACATATACACCTTCTGTTATGTATGAAGCCTGTCAAGACAATGGTCGATCAGATATCAATAACTACCTCCATCAGCAAAAGAACATCATGCAGAAGGATTTACTACCTGCTGCAAGAAGGCAGAATTATGTGAACCAACATAACAGTGTTTAAGTCATTCCCAACATGGAGAAAAGAGAATATATCTCCGATGTCAAACTTTGACAAGATGAAGTCCGATTCCGAAGTAGAAAAAAACTCACAGCCAAACAAAAGTAGACACAACCATAAAATAATTTGAATAAGAAAAAAATTACTGCATTGTAGTACCATTGAGCGCTGTGCAGAGAAAATTGCATTCATTGTTGACACATATCTGGACTACGAAGAAAAAGGTGATAGTGAGATCCAAAGGGAAAGAAAACACAAGCGACTTGAAAGAATAAAGAACGCACTGCTCAGATCCATCGGGAGATCCCTGCAAACACAAAATCTGCACTTGTCTATCAGAGCCATGGCCAAAGGAAATAAAAAAAAACATTGCAACAGGGTATATGCAACCATAAAAGGCAAAAATAAACAATAACTAATTCCTCATGAATTTCAACCAATATTCTAGGGGATGCTGCTCCCCTTATTCATCATGAGTTTTAACATCAATGAGCAGCCAAAAATGACCTCGGAAAAAATTAGTTCAAATCGGTGCTTAATATACTTAATCATTAGTGAAGAATAGCATTCAGGCCGAATCTGTGAATTGTAGCCTTCAAAATCTAAGAAAAATGGAATTTCCAAAAATTGCTAAAAATTTACCAAAATGCCCTCTGAAAAATTTCCGACCAAACCGATGCTTAATAGACTTAATCATTGGTGGAGAATAGCCTCATGCCGAATCCGTGATCTATAGCCTTCAAAATCTCAGGAAAATGACCTTTCGAAAAAGCGGCTGAAATCTATGATGGTGCCCATTTGAAATCTGCCAAAAATAACACCGGAAAAAATTCTCCTAAATCGGTGCTTAATAAGCTTAATCATCGGTGAAGATTAGCCTCAGACCGAATATATGATATGTAGTCTTCAAAATCCAAATAAAATGATATTTCAAAAAAATAAAAATTCAAAAAATGCCCTCTATAAAAATTCACAAAAATTGACGGTTAATAGACTTTATCATTAGTGAAAAAATAGTCTAAATTCGAAGTCGTAAACTGTAGGCTTCAAAATATAAGGAAAATAGTCTTTCGATAAAATCGCTCGAAATCAATGTCAAAATCATTGGTGGAGAATAGTGTCTGACCGAATCCGTGATTTATATCTTTTAAACCCCAAAAAATGGTATTTCGAAAAAATCGCCCGAAATTTTTAATGATACCCCTTTGGAATATGCTAAAAATGGCCTCAGAAAAAATCTATCAAAATCGATGCTTGATAGACTTAATCATCGATGAAGAATATCGTTAATCCGATTTCATTACTTATAGCCTTACAAATAAAAAAAAAATGATATTTTAAAAAAGTCTCTCAAAATTTGTGATGATATCTTTTTGAAATTTGCCAGATTCGACCAAAATTTTCTTCTCCTTAATAGACTTTTAATTACAAGGATGTCAATGGCTTCAATCGACATTTGATTCTCTGACCTGCTTTTCCATAATGCCCCTTCTTATAGGAGCGGAAATAAGAAAAAAAATCAGAACCGGCTGAATACACCGCCGCCGATGGCAGCGAAATCGAAGGGAACACAGACAGAGCCACAACGCGCGGTGACTCTCCAGGGACCAACTTCCACTATAAGCACATCAACTGACGAGGTTGGAAGGGTCGGGTTTGATTTGAGTGAGGAGGAGAAGTTTGCAGATTTACGTGTCCTTGAGCAACGAGGCGGCGACTATGGCTTTACTTAGCCTCCCCCGCGAGGTTGCTAAGAAGAAGAAGTTCCAGTGGCGAATGTCAAGGAGAGTGAGAAAGAGAAGGAGATCGTCTTGGATGCGGATTTGGTGAGGAGGTGAAGTAGGAACTTATGGCGGTGGTATATCCGGCGGATCCGCCGCCTCCTTTGTTGTTGGTGGATCTGCCGTCTCCATTTATGCCCACTCCTTCACCTCCATCGTTGCCATCGTCGTTGCCCACGAATAGATGCTCAATCAGGAGTCCGATTGGATTCGAGGAGAAGTGTTTGCTGGGAGGAAGAAATGGAAGGAGATGAAATATTTTTTAATTTAAAATTAATTTTTTAATTGCCACATCATTAAACTAACGGTCAAAGGACTAAGTTGACTGCCACGTAGGATGATTTTAACGAAATTGGACGGCCGGTGCCAACGGTAACGATTTGTTAATGGCAAATAAGAAAGAAAAATAATTTGGGTGGCAAACGTGAAATATATATGTAATTCGAGTGACCAAACATGTAATTTAACACAGGATAACTATCCCTGTCAAATTCGCATTGTTGAGACACACGCCACTCTAATCAATCGTCCGATTCGGAACAAAACTAGGCTGAAAATTGAACGTACTGATACCCAGCGACGGCGATGGTAGGTTCCAAAGCTGCGATTGAGGTGGCGAAGACGGTCATCGAGGTGGCCGACGTGGCGTGGACGGCCATGGAGTTCGGCCACCACCACCATCTCCACACCCACGATCAAGAAGAGACCGGTACGCAGGCCAAAGCCGCGGAATCTATGTCGGTAGATGAAGAATTGGTAGCCCTGAGATCCGAGAATCGGCGGTTGAAGAGCTTGCTCGAGCACAATCTCAAGCTCCTCCAGAATTTGTCAGAATCGCCTCCTTTGATGAGTGATTGCCCTCCTGATGTGAGTACCCTTTTCTCAGCTTCTTTCTCTGATGTTCTTTACTGCTGGAGCTGGAGTTCCGTTTTGCTCGAAAATTGCAGTCTTGTGTAGTAGAATTCATTGTACTGTTAGAGAATATGGCACATCGAGGAGTTGAAAAAGCCAAACTTGTTTCGCTAATTAGGACAATTAGTGGAAATCTTATAGCTTTCTCTGTGTTTGATCTTGTGGGTATGCGATTTGAGATTTGAAATTAATGTTCTTTGATTGCTAATTAGCAGAACTGTAATGTCATCGGGTTTTTGGTTCCTTAAACTACAGCTCTATGCTCGCCTGGCTGCCACTGTGGATTCTGAAAAATTCTTGAGCCAGCTTAAATCCCTCCAAGAGGCAACCAGAAATGGAGCTACTCCTGGATTCCCATTCAAGGAGGCTACAGGTATCTTTACATATGCCACTTAGGGTTTATTTCAGTTCCTTTGTGAGGATACTTTATGTCTTTTGATACTTATTGAGGTGCTCTCCTGTTTCCTTTGATCAGGTGATGACTTGCACACTGTGGAAGTTCTTATTAAGGTTGACCAAGAAGAACCGAGTAGGTGGGTATGGGTCACTGAAGAAATGATTCATGGCAATACTGAAGAACACAGTGGGATAGATAATGAGTGCTATGTGGTCATCAATGAGGATCAGGTGGTTGATGCAGTTGCTACCTTTATGGCTAAGTGCATAACTGCAAACCCAAAATCTCAGGTATCTCACTATCAAGCTATCGAAGCATCTTGATTTTGCTTTTATAACATGATGTATCTTACAAGAGTCCCCTGCTTGGAAATGCAGAAACTTTCTCCCGAGGCTCTCCAGAAAGGTGAGTTATCAGCCACACTCCATCAAAGGGTTTATGACTGTAAATCTCTGAAGAGCTAACAATGATATTGATCATATACTAAAAGGGTTTATGACTGTAAATCTAATAGAAGTAGTCATGCGTATTGATAATACCTTAGAGCCTCAGACTGCCCGAAATCAATTTCCTACTAGTTTTTTTTTTATGAGGAAATAATATTTGGAGGCTTCCATCCACAAAGTACTGATACTGTGAGCTTGTGAATTTGCAGCCATTACAGAAGCATTAGGCGGTGGTGGTGTTAGCAAATTTGAGAGAGCAATGGGTATTTGGCATGCGTGGCAGCTGTTTTATGCTCTTTCGACCTGGGGAATTGCATTGGCAGGGTGAGTACGTTTGCTTATGTTCTCAGAATGACATTCTTAACTCAGTAATTCATCTAGACTTGTCGTCAATTGCTCAAACACACAATCACTTCTAAATGAACTTCGTAATGCAAGAACTTTCAACTTTAGTTCCTTGTTTGTGGTGTTTTGGTGCGATCCAAGTTTTTCAATTTTGTTTTGCTTGGTGCACGTCTGGTTTCATGGATTAATATTAAAAGCAGGGAGCTTTACTGAATCAGTTTATGGCTGTGCTATGTTGGATGATGCAGTTTGTACAAGACTCGGGCTGTGTGGAAATATGCTGCCGTGGGTGTTCACAAAACCAGCAAAGTTGTCCTCAGGGCTCTGTGAATCAGAGGACCAGACTTCTTGTGTGATGTAAATATAACGAATTTGCATGGGGAGCTTTATGTCGCGATTTCGAACTATGTGATTGTTCAAGCTCTTCTCAATTGTATATATGTTCTCTGTAAATATTAGTGGGAGATGGTGTTCACAACATTGTCATATTTCAGTTCCTTGTTTGATTGGATTGGACAACAGATCAAAGTAACATTTCCGGTTACAAACTTTGCTATCACTATCAAAATTCAGCTTCAACAAGAGATCAAAGGAAGCCCTCCAAAAATAGATGAGAAATTTTGAATGGTAGTTCTTGGAGCTACTTCCACGTCGAGCATTCACATGGCTGCTTCCAGCTCCAGTAATGGAGATTGGAACTGAGTTTCGTGGAAGCTCTAAGTGCGTTCTTATTTCTGCTCCAGAAAAGCTGCAAGTCTTGGTGGGTGAATCCGGATGTCTACATATCTGCCTCTCCAGTTGAAGTTTCAGATAGCTTGACAAACTGTTAAAAATACACGTCGATAATTGATTACGAATAAGTCAAATGGCTCAGTTGCATTTAATTTAACAAAGCAAAGAAAGATTTGGCAAGCTGTTAAAAATACTTTGAGACTGAGCTTCTAACAAGATTTTTAAGATCTATGATTCGGAGGCCTTTCTCTTGCGATCCGATGCAGCATCTAACTGAGCCTTACCAAAGACAGACCTGATGAACAGCCAACATAGCAAAAATAATGATGTTTCAAGACATTTCTCAACTGTAACGAATGTCTCATATCGTACAGTGATCAGTAGGGGAAAACCAAGGAAACAGTAAAAGTACTTACCCACAAGTCGAACATTTGTCATGATGCTTACAGAATATTGACAAGCAAACAGAACATACATAGCCCATATCGATTGTTGTTTTATGGCAAAAACATCTGCAGTAACACAGTAGGTTAGTTGCTGCTTTGTAATTAGAAATCAATGCAGCAAAAACTGCCATCTCTGGAGCCAGCTGGTTGCGTATGATATGCAGAACAAATAGGCCTTCAATTCGATGGTTGGTACGGAAATAGAAATGAAGAGAGCAAATCAATGCAGCAAAGAAATGTATTGAAAACGGAAGGAACAAAAGAAAACCACACTCACGAAGCACGGAAATCTACACCAGCTGGCCTTGGCAGTTGTAAGAAGCTTCTCGAGTGCAAGTCGACAGCAAACACAGTCTGCAGAGACAATGAGACTGTGATACCGAGCCAGTAGTTTCAACCAATAGTTTCAACCAAGACCATTTATAGTTTCTACATGGCTTTTCACTATTGCAACGTAACACATACAACTCTATAGGAAAGGAGAACGAGACATACCGCTAAGTATTGATACAGCCCTTCCAAATGTTGGGGCTTAACATATACACCTCCTGTTATGTATGAAGCCTGTCAAGACAATGATCGATCAGATATCAATAACTACCTCCATCGGCAAAAGAATATCATGCAGAAGGATTTACTACCTGCTGCAAGAAGGCAGAATTATGGGAACCAACATAACAACAATCTATCGGCACCTGCGGCAGCGGCGATTAACAGTGTTTAAGTCAATCTCAACATGGAGAACAGAATATATCTCTGAGCAAACTTTGACAAGATGAAATCCGATTCGAAAATAGAAAAAATGCTCACAGCTAAACAAAAGTAGGCAGAACCATAAAATTATATGAATAGGAAGAGGGAAAAAATTGCCGCATTGTAGTACCATTGAGCGCTGTGCAGAGAAGATTGCATTCATTATCGACACATATCTGGATTACCAAGAAAAGGGTCAGACTGAGATCCAAAGGGAAAGAAACACAAGCGACTTGAATGAACAAAGAACGCACTGCTCAGATCCATCTGGAGATCCCTGCAAACACAATATCTGCACTTGTCTGTCAGTGCCATGGCCAAAGGAAATTAAAAAAAACATTGCAACAGGGTATATGCAACCATGAAAGGCGGAAGTAAACAATGATTAATTCCTCATGAATTTCAGTCAATATTTTGCAAGGATGCTGCTACCCATATTTATCATGAGTTTCAGCATCAATGTGCAGCCAAAGGCAGAAAAGGAAACAAAGAAAACATGCTGGACCTAAACAAGACAATCACCATTCTCACAAATGTTTCAAATATTCTCCATGACAAAAAAAAAAAAAGAGAGCTCATTTGAACACAACATCACTTTGGAGGTGGTGTTAAAACATGCAGATTGATTGAAATGGAAGAAATGGAAATTGCCAATGCAAGCTAGAACAGTGGACAGTCTTTAGCATTCTATACAATGCACATCATTAAGCATGTAAGAAAAGCTAACATAATGCACGGATGTGCGTACTCACTCGAGGCTGTGGATGGAGTGGCCCAGACCGGAAAACCCTTTGTATATCTAACCAAGAGTCAAGTTGAACGAAATAAGCCTGTTTATGAACTACTCGCACTCATAACCACATCTAGCACACACAAGACCAGAAGTCTATGAATCCATTTAGACATTCAAATTCTACAAAACAAAGAACGCGAAATGCGAAAGACTGAACATCAAGAAACCCTGAAAAACCCGAAAACCAAAACTACTCAAAAAGGATACAACAGAGTGCCATCGACAGCGAACCAGACAGCAACGAAGACGCCCTCTTCTCTGATAAACCTTCCTGCTTGGCCCCCAACTTCTCGTCCTTGTCCACGAACTCCTCCAATCTCTGCAATACAAATGAGTACAAAGCAGGCAATTCGCCTTCCCCCGTGACCTGATCCGTATCCAACGACGAGTCATAAATGTAATCACAGGTATTATGCCCAGTAGCAATGACCACGATTTGATTCAGTTGGCTCAGTCGCACAATTAAATCGAGAAAAACCAGCACCTGAAAGGGAAAATGTACAACAGTATAACCAAGTTTTTTCAGCAGGATGAAGGCCAATCAGAAAGGGCTAGGGTTTCTTGCAAGTAAAAACCGCAGAGCGAGCGAGAGATTTACATGAGAGACGAACTGGTGGAAATTGAGAGAGGACGACGATGTGCTCCAGAAGAACGGATTGGTATCGATCAACACAACCAATAAGCTAACATCATCTGAAAACGAAATCAATGACCTAAAAAAATGAGTCGCCTAGACAATTATTGTGCCCGTTAAGTCGGATATTGAATGGGGAAAAAAGTACAGATCATGAAAATTGACTGTGAGTCAACCCTGTTAGAGCAAGAAGTTCACCGGCGATTGGCTTGGAAGGAAGCGTAGCCATGGCCGACGACGACGGTGGACTGATTGAAGTCCCGTAGAAGTTTTCCGCGGGAATGCGGAGGAAGAAGGAAGCTCCTTGGCCAAGTAGTGACGACCAGTGGGCCAGCTACGAGCCTAGATTCAATAGCTCCCTCTTTCAACATTTTCCGAGACTTTGGGCCTCCGAACTCTGAGCCCAAAATAAGATGCCCAAAATAAAAAGGGTTAAAAGCCCATCCATGGTCTTGACTACATCATGGCCCAGCATAATGTTGCGTGCCTCTACAAGCATGTGTTCCTCGCCACTCTTCTCTAGATATGATCAGAGCCGAGAAATTAACTAAGGCACTGTTTAGTATTGTTGCTTGTTTTTGTTGTCTGTTGTGTTTTATGAAATTTGGAAAACCAAGAAAAAAAATCGTGTTTAGTTGGATTTTTATTTTATGTTGTGAATCAGAGTTGCACAACAAGGCCCAAATATGAGAAACAACAATTTATTGCTTTGGATCTGATTCTTAAACATGTTGCACACCGGATTCCTACTGGTTGGGCGCTTGATTTCATTAAACCAGTCCAGTTTTCGAATCCCCACAGAAGCAATTTTTTTTAACACATAGGAACAAACCTCAAACCCTACTTCAACATAACAGCCCCCAACCCTTCCATTTTCTCAAAACAGAGTAGCACATCCCCCTCTGCGCCGCCCGCCTCACCTCCGCCTCCCCACCTACGGGCCGCGTCACCGCCCGCCCAGCCTCCCCGCCAGCTCCGCCTCCGCGCCCTGACCCCTCTGCCTCCGCCTTCGCGCTGCGCCGCCTCACCTCCGCCTCCCCGCCTCCGCTCCGCGCCCCCCTGCTCGACAACCGCCATCCCGCCAGCCCAGCAACCGTCGCCCGCCCGCACGCCCAGCCGCCGACGCCCGCCCGCCCAGCCGCCGACGCCCGCCCGCCCTGCTGCCGCTAGTCTCACCGCCGCCAGTCTCTTTTTTCTGGTTTTTAGTTCTTATAGTAGTAACTAAACACGTTTTTGTTTCTTGTTGTCAGCTTTCATGATTTTTCATATTTATCAACTAAACAGGTTTGTGTTTTCTGTTTTTTTTCCTGTTGTGGTTGTACATCTGTTTACACAACACCACTGCAACTACAACAGCAACAAAATGATACTAAACGGGCCCTAAAATGTGATACCCTATCGTCAAAATGTCTCAATTATTTCACTCGCCAAAACGAACATTCTATCCCAATAACTTGTTTTGAAATATTTTTTATGAATTTTGTTTTGAGACATTACCGCTTCTGTGATTGTCGTGATTGTTAGTATACTGGTATTCTTCATAATACATTGTTTTCTGATTTTTGTTATCTATAACTGTTTCTATGATGTAACATAAATTATCACTCAAAATGAGTGATTGTTATATTTCAATTTTAAGCTGAGAAGTTGAGTTGAGATTGTTACATCTCAATTTTGACTTATGTGACATACACAATCACACATGTTAAACGTTGTATTTTAAAAATGCATCAAATTCATCAACACATGAATAATATTGTACATGTATTCACCACTACACATCTATTTAACAATTGCACCTTCCAAACGACCCATACTTGTAACATACCTCATGCAAACTATCCAGTAATGAAAATTTATTTCGAACCATAAATTTGCACAAACTCGATATATATATTTTCCTAAATGAAATTAAATATCAATACGGCCAACGACTGAAACACAAGATCTCTCGATCAAATTATCTAACACCATGCCAAGAACAACCTCATCTCAATAACTCGAATGTGTAAACATGTCAAAGTCCAAAGACTTGGAAACAACCCCGGTGAGAAGGTGAGATTTCTCCTCTCTTTGGCACGATAATAAAGCCTTTGAAAACGAGACAATTCTTGTACGCATCATCAATGATAGTACTATAAAGTACTAGTGTTCGCGTTTTAGGTGAGGAATTAACCAGGGAAAACGTTAATGAGAGAAGGACACGAGTTTACCTAATAGTCGGTTTCAGTACTAGTCCTCCATCGACACATTTTTCTGTTGTGTGTAGTGTACCTTACAAGAAGAATAGAATAGAATAGAACAGGCATGTGGAGTTTCTGGTAGCAGTCTGATGCAGATAAGCGACAGAAGGCAAAGGGAATTGATCATCGACGAAATCCAGGTAGATGTCAAACAAGGCGTGTTGATGTTGTTTAACACGGCTTGTTGGCATGATGGATTTGCGCGGTCTATAGTTAGCGAACTACTAAATATACGGTGGTGGTATGCATTTTGTTGTTCATAGTAGAGCCGTAATAAATGGTGTCATCGATAAGACGGGTCGAGTTCGAGCTCGGCTTGTATTTGGCTCGAGCTCGACTCATTAACAAGCTCACAGGCTCTACTTGAGCTCGGTAGATAAGGTGTCATGTCATTTAGTTCATTATTTTTAGTTGTTCATATTCTTAAACATAATATATGATGAGATATATAATCTAACATATCTATGAACTGTCAACAAGCCATTGATAAGCTATTAACCGACTTGCTCACAAGTTGCTAGTTTGGCTCGCTAACCATGCCGTCGAGCCACAACTCATAGCTCAAAACGCCTTGCTCACGAGTTGTGCACAACAAACCATCGAGTCGAGCTAGATCACAGGCCTTGCGAGCCGAACAAGGCTAAGCTCAAGTTCGGATCGACTCATATTGGTCACTGAGCCGACTGTCAAACGAGTTTTTTCCCCCGAACCAAAACGTCAGGCCAACTCGTAAACAGTTTGACTCATTTGGAGCCTGGTGCAGAGTGACCATTTTGACAAGTTCAGTGACCATTTTGCTCAGACAGACTCGTTTCCCACTGTTTGTCTCAATTATGGCGATCATCAAGGGGAAGAAAAGTAAACGGTCCCCTCCATATTAATTGGAGATTGTAAGTTCATATCGATCGATCTCTCTAAGCATTTATTGGAAAGGGTTGTTGGTGACTTGGCGGTTGCTGTCAATAATTCAGTGGGTCGACTCGACGACGAGTCTGATCAATCTGACTGACTTAATTTCCCCACTTGGAAAACCAATCAAATCCCATGCGCAAGTAGAAAGAAAGCAGCTGAAAATTCAAGGGTACTGCTTCAACAGCTAGCCAGAACACCAACTGCCGACCCTCTTGATGACTGGAAAAAGACCTTGGGACCGACTGCTGATTTGCTCTGAAGAAGAAGAAGAAGTCAGAGGAGATGGAGGAAGGAAATTAAGTCCTATGGAGTGGAATGAATGGACCTCTTCTATGGTGCCTATTTGGACTTGAAAGTTGGGATGACAATCGGGTTAGGTCGGATTTCTCTATATTCAAACCCAACACACGGGTTAGCGGGTGCACTCATTAAAAAAATTTGGTAAATATCTACTGGTTTTAGAAGAGCAAGCCGAACCCAATTTAAGAGGTAGTATTGATGGAGTACATAAATAACCATGGATTCACGAAGATACATATAAATTATTTTTCGAACAGTCGAACAATCATATAGTAATATTATAGAATTTTTTTCACAAAAAGTAATTATCTACAAACAATTAAACGTGTGATTTTCCCGATAAAGCCACTCAATCTATTATCATTTCCCGTGCATAATGATTATTATCGGCTCTTGCAAACATGTTCTGTAGCCCATTATTTATCTTTTTAGCTTTTATACGATCGCATATACAGAAGAATTTGTCACTTCTGTCTTGGATTATTAATTTGTAAGATGAAAAAAGTTAGTAATAGAGTGTTTTTGTTAAATATTCAATTATTAATTGATTATGAGAGAATTATGGAACTAACACCCAACTACTTTGTCGTCACCAAATCCATAAGTCAATGGATCCTGAGATTGGCTTTGTTCTCCTCCTAATTTGATTATTTAAGTTATTGACCTTTCATCATTGTCAAGGTTGGGTTCTTTCATTTGGCAAAAAAAAAAAATCATCATTGCGTCTTTGCTTCATCTAGAAACATGTTTCTAAACTATAATATTATTGATATTATCTATCTCCACTCTCCAGGGCTCTTCTATCTCTAATCTATGCCTTCCACCTGCCTCATTTTCAAAGCTAACCACCAAGGGCACACTCATTTAGCATTCTAGTGACTCCGAAAAGTAAATCGACTAGTCGAGCAATTATATTTTAGTGATTATTCTATGTTAATTGTTCGGTGGCAATAATAACAATGGTGCGGTTGAAGAAAGAAGACTTTGATAATGATCTAAAACATAATGTATCATAATTGAATATCGAATACGTACCCGAATTGAGGTGTTTACCAAAGATATTGAAGGGGACTTGAGAGCAAAGTCGTTCTAGAGAAGATTTAAAGAGAGTAGGAGAGTTGACTATCTATAGATTAGAAATGGATAGATGGATTTTGATAGGATTGGATTCTCTTTTTATTTTTTGGCCTTTTTGGGTATCGATTTTTAGACATATCCTCCCATCCCACCTACCTAACCTAATCCCCCAAAACCCTCCTCATGTCTTTCTACCCACACACTAAAAAAAATATCTCCATCTAGAAGTTATAAATCAGTAACGTGTACTAGCGAAATACTTGCTTATAAATTTGAAATTTGTACGTACATCTTTCTATATTTTGTGCGAAAACTAATAATTGATATTCACAATCGTCAGAATTCGAACACAATATTTTTTTCAAGTATCTCACATACCCGTAAATAATATATATAGTTAGGAAAATTAAATTAATCAACTATATTTATTTTGTGTTTGTTTATCGTTTTTGTTTATCATATAAAAACATAAACCCACCTAACCTTTAACCTATTGGCCTTTTCAACTTTACCTTCGAAATTGGAAAAGTCGGATAAATATGCTCTTATTATTGCTCAAATTATCCCTTCCAAATGAAGAATAATTGAATTTTTTTTTCTTTTCTCTTTTAGGAATCATTTTGTGGGCTACAAAATAGTAAGATAAAGAACATTTTGTACAAAGAGAGACGGGTGGCGGAGGAGGAGAGTGATGGTGACCGGTGCAGTGGGACCCGCCGCCGCAACCGAGCACATGAAGCTGTCGCCGGACGGCTGCCAACTACCTACCCAGAGCCAGCCGGAGTGGTTGGCAACGTGCGCCGGGAAATAGACGTTTTCCTTCCTCTCATTTTCTTTGC